ATTTAAGGAGTGCCCGACCCAACTTTTTGAGAAGGAAGCATTCGGCCACTTTTGTAAGGATATGCCCGGCTACTTTTTGCAAGGATATGTCCGACTACTTTTGCAAGGATATGATCGACCACTTTTGCAAAAGGAAGTGCCCGACTATATTTTTGAGAAGACACCACAGCCTTCGAAGAAAACACCTCGCCCGCATTTTTGAGAAGGCACCACGGCCTTTGAAGAAAAGACCTCGGCCACCTTTTTGAGAAAGCACTTTGGCCGCAAGGAATTCTTCAGCTGCTAGGAATTCTCAGCCTCTAGGAATTCTCCGACGGCTAGGAAATCTCACCCGCGAGGAATTCTTCGCCCGCTAGGAATTCTCGCCCGCTGGGAAATCTTTCTTGGCAAATTGGGTGAATTTTGGCCACCCCCAAACAGATTGTAAATCTCTGCAGAGAGAATATAAACCATGTTTCAGTTACAGATAATTGTGACCTAAAGATTTATGAGAGGCTTAATAAAATAAAATAAGATTTATGAGAGGATGGAACTATCGTATTTGAATACTTCTTCAGAAAACCATGTTTTAGTAATTCAAGTTGTTTCATATTCTTAAAAATTCAGTTGTGAAACTCTTCTCAAAATCTCTCATCTTCTGCCCTTCAGTTTACTCACATATTTTAGAGCATTCCTGAATATGTTTATTTGATTTTCATGAGTTACTGCTTTCGATTTTTGGCATTTGAATTTCCGGGCCTTACACTTACACTTCTAAGCCTTCCTCTCTCCTTTGTATCTGCACACACACAAACAGAATTGGTAATCTTCATCTACCATGTATACCAGAAGAAAGTTTTCTAGATGGGTGTAAGTCAGCCCAATTACAACTTCAGTAAGGTAGCAGTCCATGGTGGTGGACGTTTAGCCATAGGGTTATAGTTAATTAGGCTAATTAACCTTAAATGGGATAAAATTGCTTGATTACCCTGAAATAATTGGGATATTTAAAATGGATGACCCGGCCCGATTAGGTGGTGGACATATATAGTACAAGTGTTATTAGCCTCAGAAAAAGGAAAAGGATTGCGGCCCAAGTCACTACCAGAATCCATAATCAATTTCAATTTTAGGTTTTGTTGGTATTCCTTTCCAACAACCCTAGCCAAGAAAATCAATCAGTCCTCACAGCAGAGAGAGATAGAGAGAGCACCCAAAACCAACCACTGTTCAATTTTCAAATTGAGCAAATAATAATATATAGAGAGGATGATTGAGATGAATAAAGCCGTGGTGCCGGGGGGCCAAGTGTGTTTGAGGGTTGTTCCGAATCCGAACAAAGCAGCAGCAGGAGGCCGCCGCCTCCAAAACCTTGTCAATGTCCAAAGGCAAATTAGGAGGTAATATTTTCATTTCTTCCCCCCCACCACAATTAGTAGCAGCAGCTGCAACCACACCAATTCCAATCCCAATCCCGAGAAGAAGAAGATTAATGGCTACTTCCAACTCCTCCAACGCTGACATCTGCCGTCTTATTCCTTCCTCATCCTACGGTGACCCCTGCCTTGATCTCTTTTTCAACTCCCTCAGACCAGACGACCGCGGATATACCAAAGTCTGCCTCAAATATCTGAAGCAACTGCTTCCCTTGGCCTGGTCCCACAATCCCCTTACCACCCTCAAGCTCATCTTCAGCGCTCAGACTTACGGTGTAGAGGGCATGAAGTTCGACACGGCCGTGCTTTGGCTCCACCACAACCACCCAAATACTCTGTTACGCAATCTTCACTCCCTTGTCAACTCTGTCTCCTATGGTGAGGGCTTGTATACACTTGTCCAAATTCTGTCCAACCTTCTAGTTCAGAAACGAGGCGGCCAAGACAACGACGCTGCTGCTCATCCAGAGAGGTATGACCTTGATCCGGATTATAGGTTGTTACACGACCGTGTTATTGATATTTTTGTGGAGCTACTGAAGTCTGATATTGACAAAATGAAGCACCACAAGCTGAAACTGAAGTTTTTAAATGATGATGATGACCTGGACGACTTCGACCAACTTGAAGTTGATGGTTTCGTATCCGCTGCTGCAGAGTGTTGCACTGACAAATGCCGTATAAAGGGCCACCTCGCCAGCGCCCGCGCCCGCGTCATTTTGCTCCGTGAAAGCATTGGGAGGAGGCTTTTCCCCCTAGAATCAGATCAATCAGATGAGTGGGAACGGCTAAGGAAGGAGGTTTTGGTGCCCTTGACCAAGTACTACCATCGTCAAGTTCTCACCGATTGCTACCATCGTGAAGTCCGAGAGCGCTGTGTGGTTGAGAAGTATTTGGAGGAGGTGAAGGCGGCGGCAGCAGCAGCAGGAGGAGGCAATCTAAGAGGTGGAATAATAAAGCTGGATGCTTCGCTTCCAAATGAGATCATAAAATATGTAAGAAGGGAGGATGTCCGGGAAGCCGCTGAGGTTCAGTGGAAGGCAATGGTAGAGGACATAAAGCAGGGGGAGGGTTTGGGAAAATTCAAAAACTGCTTGGTGGTGGGCTATTATTCACTAAACCCTAAATTGGATGAGCGTTATCCAGAGCAGGCCTATGCAGAGGCAGGGTTGGAAATTCTGGTGTCGGAAGTGAATGAAGAGCCATGGAAAGGAAAGATAATAACATACAGTGATGGAAAATATCAGCTAGACTTGATACAAGGACATAATCTTACGTCCAAGTTCGAATTTATGAGAACCGTGGAGACCTGCTGGACCTCCTTGGTGGAATGTAATAAGGAATTTTTGGAGGTGTTTGATTTGATTCTGGAAGTGGCTGTGAATGAGAAGTTGAGGGCAGAGCAGATGATCAAGAAGGTAATTGTGTTCACCGAAGATCTAGAACCTACTGACAGCCCCATCTGGGATGTTCAGTACTACGCCCTACAGAGCACGTTTGAGGCTATTCGGAGCAAGTTTAGGGATAAAGGGTAAGGGGATGACTCGGTCCCTCACATTTTGTATTTCAACGAGACCAAGCAACCCTGGATTTGTACACAAGATCCAGGCTTCACGCTGTTGAGTGGCTTCTCCAACAATATGTTCAAGTCCTTTTTGAAAAATGGTGGGGAAATTGGCCTGCACCATCTCATGGAAGCAGCCATCGCTCACGAAGAGTATCAAACTCTGGAGGTAGTTGACTGATTGAGACTCAACTTGAACCGGTGGTGTGGATATGATCATATGGATGTGGTGGCAATCAAGAATACCAAATAAATCCATTGAATTTGGATTGGAATTACCTTGTAATTTAATTTGCTATATTAGATAGGTTTCAAGAACTAGATTCCTTTACTTTGAATTATTTCCTATATGTCTAGGCTGCTGTAAACTGTTTAGGTGCTTCTCCTCAACCTCAATATCGATTCTTAATATAGAAATTTAGTTATATACCCAATCTTAGACATAGTTTTATAAAGAAACCCTATACTATTTAAAAACTATAAAGACACCCAAAAATTGACAGCTGTCAATTTTTTCAATTTAATAGCAGTTTTTTAGTTTATTTGTGTGTTAAATACCTATATTGCCCTTGTATTATGGATTTGAGAGAAAAATCAGATCTGCCCAGATCTGCCAAAAAACAAAATCTGCCAAAAATGTTCATGCATGAAAAAAAAAATTCAAAATCTTAATTACAATTTGATGAGGGAGAAGATGTGGTGTTGTTTCATTTGTTTTTGACAATGATGAAGAATTAATATGATGAGCTTCTGCAGCTTCAAGCACTTGAGAAGGTCTTGATCTTGTAGAGTCAGTCTCCAATATGTTGTTGCCAAATCTCCATGTCCATGAAGACGAAGACGAACCCGAAGTGCAAACAAGCACTGATATCACAAAAAAGGGTACTACAGACACTAAAATTAAAACTGAATAATATGAAGAATATGACCACAATGCTGAAAACAAAGAATATGGCTTATTGAGAGGCTTCATCTCTCTCACTCTCTCTCTCTCTCTCTCTGTTGTCATCCACAAATCACAATTACACTATATGTGCATGCAGTACTAGAGTACTGAATGAGATTATTGTGCTATTGATGGATTCATTACTTAAACTGCTGGTTATTCCTTGCTGCTCATAAAAGTCATTCTTTGAGAGAGGGTTGTGTGGCAAAGCTTTTTGGTGTGTGTGTGTCTAAATAAATAAGTGTCTGTGTTTCTGGCCATGAGATGCTTCCTTGCTGCTTGATCCAAGTTTGGCTCTCTTTCCAAAAGTTACACAACTTTTATATTTGCATTATTTTTCCTGTCATTCATTTTTTTCTTTCTTTCCAATTACTACTACTCACAATCACTGAGTTAAGGTTAGATTTTCTGCAACAATGGTGTCTGCTGCCATTGCCCTATAGTATCCTCCACTTGCACGAGCACATATTTTCTTCTGTACAAGAGTACTTGCCAACATATCAACTTTTACAGGGACAAATTCCGACATCTTAAGAGTTCTATGCAGCTAAAACAACAATAACTTCAACACCTCATGTAATGGAAAGCACCATGTAATGAGAATGTGAGCTATTAGATGTAATTCACATATACTCTGCGTTTACTTAAGAAAAAGGAAGATAGGTAAATGATGTCATCTGTAAGAAGGTTTATTACATTAAACCTACTAAAGTGATCTTCTAATCAACTTAGGATTACAAAGACTTATTGTTTATTAGGAACTCAAAACCTATCTCGATTAGGCAAGCCTCAAACAGTGTTCAATAAGGATAATGAAGGCTTAAGGGTTCCTAGTTCTACAAGGATTGGAATGGATTAATCCTATAGCATGAAGGATATCTCTAAGTGTTTCTTGATGGGCAAGACACTTAGAGAGATGCATATAAATAGAAGGCTCCCTCCTAGATCCGAATAACACAACACAGCTAAACAGAAATTCACCCATCAGAGTTATAGCTATAAGGATCGGATTCTCAGGAGAAGAACTTCTATACCTTGCACTGCCAATCTGTTCCAGCATCATCCAATCTGCGCCAGCACCATGTCAGACTCAGGTTAGTGTTAAACATGTTATGGCTTTAAGGAATTAACATGTGGTATCAGAGCTTAAGTTATATCATGTTATACCTAACAAAACTCGTGCAGGAAAATTGAGAATAAATAACTGACAGTTTTAAGTTATAAAGTATGAACATGATAACAGTATAAAGTATGAACTTTATCATGTTCTTAAAGTTTTCTACAGATCATTGCTTACAGTTCTTGTGCCGTGATTGAGTAAGCCAAAGCGA